AGAGAAACCCTGTCTCGAAAAAACAAAAAAAAAAAAAAAAAAAAAAAAAAAAAAATCCCTTTACCGCCACGACAGTGACGAGACTCCCAGTCCCCACATTCGGTGATGGCACCTGTCCCTTGGGTGCTGTACAGTGCTACCTGGTGCCTCTTTTGCTGCAGAGTACAGGCCCCACTCCAAACGTTCTTGTTATACACTGGCAGCTGCAAGGTCCCTAAGGAAGCTCAGTACACAACACAGGGAAGCTGGGGAGAAGGGGGGCAGATGACCAGCGTGCCTACATGAGGTGCTCAAATAGTCTCCACAAGGTGATGCCAGGGTGGTTCTCACAGTGCTGGTTCTTCTGAGAAAGCCTCTACGGGCCCCAACACCCAGCTCACCCCAGGCGCCTGCACCGCTCAGCTCTGGGCAGCTTTGCAGGGCAGAGGAGGGGCAGCCAACTCTCATTACAGGCTCTGATTACTAATCCATGGGAACCCCGAAGTATGAACTCCAGTGCCTCCCTCCTTTACATCTGACCACTCTGGAGCTTTCACATCCTTCATTCACTAATCCTGTACCCTACAGGGCAGTGAACAAGGCATCAACAACTTGAATGAGTTCCTCAAGTAGAAAAAACAGAGGTGAGCAAGTGAGAAAGCGAGTTCCATTCAGCATAACTGGGGCCTGAGGAAGTCATGACTTCACAGCTGCAAAGGACCGCTGTGACAGTGGGTCCCCAGGACGAGGCTGCCCGGTGACTCTGTATGTAGAGGCTACAGAGAGGACAATACATGACCACCGAAGGGAGGCTCGGGTCAATAGTGCTTTCCCTGGAGAGGCTGATGGATCTGCCGACTGTCCAATGCTCCTGCCCAGGGCGCACTATCCTTGCTGGTATTCAGGAAGGGGCCTGGGTTACTCCTCTGCATCAGCTCCAGGCTCTCAGGTGAAGGAGCAACAGAAAGAGAACTCCACAGCCCAGCACTGGGAGACTTCTTGGCTCACCAGACTGGTAGGGCTCAAAACCCAAGTCAGAGAAGGTTCTGGCTGCTTGCTGGGGAGCTGACAATGAAGGCCCTTAGACAGCCACCCATTCATGCCAGCCATCAATGAAGAAAGGGAGGCAGATGCCAACACCAGGGGGATGCCGGGGGAGGCTGTGGGCGGAGACAAGGGATAGGAGCGTGTGGAGGATGGAGGTCTGTGGAGGATGGAGATCTGTGGAGGATGGAGGTCTGTGGAGGGTGGAGGTCTGTGGAGGGTGGAGGTCTGTGGAGGGTGGAGGTCTGTGGAGGGTGGAGGTCTGTGGAGGA